GTTAATATGTATTCTTTTGTTAGGCTTACGTGTTCATCAATGACCCTCAGGCCTGCTTACAGCTTCCAGCATTTCAGACTCCCCAGGGATGGGGTTGTGGCCATACTGTGGCATGAGAGGGGTGTGCATAGCTATTGTGGGGACCTGCTAGACATCGGGAGCTGACAGACATACTAAAGCTGACCTTTCTCTGTCTCTTCTCTATGGAAGTAAAGTTTTATTCTATCCTGTGCTTGACTGTGCTGTTGTGTTTTCCTTGGTGACTCTGATACCAGGGTGCAGTGAGCAGACTGGACTTCTATTTCTGGTGATTGGCAATAATGATGATCTTTGTTTCCCTCCAAGCAGTCAGAGTCCTCCCCTGACATCAGTGATCAGTACTATCAACCTGTGAATTTATTACCTTAATGGCAAAAAGGACTTTGTGGATGTGATCAAGGTTACAACCTTGAGATAAGGAAATACACTGGTAAGCCCAATATAATCCTATGAGTCCTTAAGAGTAGAGACGGTTTCCAGCTATAGTCTTACTTATGTAATGACGTAAGACTTAGAGAAATGTGACATGTGAAGAAAATGGTCCTTCATTACAGGCTTTAGAGATGGAGGAAGAAGTCTATGAGCCAAAAGCTGTAGGAAGCAAATTCTTCAGAAAGGAACACAGCAGTGTCAACACCTTGATTTTAATCCAGTGTGCCCTGAATTAGACTTCTGAACTACAGAACTGAAAAACAATAAATTTGTATTTTAATCCACTAGTTCAGTTCAGTTTAGTCGTTCAGTTGTGTCCAACTCTTTGCAACCCCACGGACTGCAGCATGCCAGGCTTCCCTGTCCATCACCAATTCCCGGAGCTTGCTCAAACTCATGTCCATCAAGTCAGTGATGCCATCCAACCATCTCATCCTCTGTCATCCCCTTCTCCTCCCACCTTCAACCTTTCCCAGAATCATGGTCTTTTCCAATGAGTCAGTTCCTCACATTAGGTGGCCAAAGTATTGGAGTTTCAGCTTCAGCGTCAGTCCTTCCAATGAATATTCAGGACTGATTTCCTTTAGGATTGACTGGTTGGATCTCCTTGCTGTCCAAGGGACTCTCAAGAGTCTTCTCCAACACCAAATTTCAAAAGCATCAATTCTTCGGCACTCAGCTTTCTTTATAGTCAATCTCTCACATCCATACATGACTACTGGAAAAACCATAGCTTTGCTAGATGGACCTTTGTTGGCAAAGTATGTGGTAACTTGTTTATTGTTGTCATTTAGTCACTAAGTCATGTCCATTTCTTTTGTGACCCCATGGACTGTAGCCCACCAGGCTCCTCTGTCTATGGGATTTTTCAGGCAAGAACACTGGAGTGGGTTGCCATTTCCTTTTCCAGGGGATCTTCTGCACCCAGGGATCAAACCCCTGTCTCCTGCACTGGCAGGTGAATTCTTCAGCCCAGTGGCTTTGTTACAGGGACCATAAAGAACTGATTCACACCTCTTTCAGGGAATACAAAGGAGTCTACAGTCATATCTGTCTTGAAACTGCCATTTCTTTCATTCAAAGCAACTTCGGGGTATGATGACCTTTACAAGTACAGCCTCCCAGTTAGTGTCTGATATATATTAACTGAGGGGCTTCCCAGCTGTCTCCATGGTAAATAATCCACCTACCAATGCAGGAGACGTGGTTTTGATCCCTGGGTGTGGAAGATCCCTTGGAGAATGGAATGATTACCCACTCCAGTATTCTTGCCTGGAGAATCCCATGGAGAGAGAAGCCTGGCAGGACACAGACCATGGCGTCGCAAAGAGTAAAACACAACTGAAGTGACTTAGCCCACATGTACGCTCACACTTATGCCTAACTGAATGAGTAAATTGAAACTGTATCTCAGTTGTGTACCTAGATTATTGAGTAGGCTAATGTTGAGCTAATATGTAATTGTCCTCCAAAAGAAGAGCCATGTATTAATTTACAAAACAATCTATTGAGCCACAAATTATTAATACTTCTGTACTATGTTTTACTTGATTTTTCTGTTTTCTCTTATCCTCACTTCCAAAGTTTCTTCTATATTTATTTTGAAGGCTTCTCTTGTCTTAAACACATCAACAAACATCAACGAGAGCACAAAAGCTTTTCATTAACCTAAAGATATTATTCCTCAGCCTGCAGAAGGAATAGTGGACAGTGAACTGGAAGAAACTTGGCTTCCTGGATATTTTGTGGAACAAAGCAATCCTAACAGCCATAGACTGCTATCTCTTTTTGTCAAGTCTCTTCTGATCCCTTTAGACAAAATAACCCACTTCCTTCAACATTCTTATGGAACTTTGTACAGATATTTTTTCTAGCTCATATCCTATTGAGTTAAATTTTTCATCAATCCTAAAGGAAATCAGTCCTGAATATTCATTGGAAGGACTGACGCTGAAGCTGAAGCTCCAATACTTTGGACATCTGATGCGAAGAGCTGATGCATTAGAAAAGACCCTGATGCTGGGAAAGATTGAAGGCAGGAGAAGGGGATGACAGAGGATGAGTCGGTTGGACAACATCACCAACTCAATGGACATGAGTTTGAGTAAGCTCTGGGACTTGGTGATGGACGGGGAAACCTGGAGTACTGCAGTCCATGGGGTCACAAAGAGTCGGACACAACTGAGTGACTGAACTGAGTAGATACACATACCAAAAGGGCAGTAGAATCAGTCTTATCCTTGCCGCGAGGAGAGTGCAATGTGTGTCTACTTTTTTATTTCTTTGTATACGTTGCAAGATTTGTGGTTGTCAGCTGGAGATCCTTAGTTGAAGGAGCCAAAACTGGAGAATGTGGGCATCGATCCCACTACCTCTCACATGCTAAGCGAGCGCTCTACCACTTGAGCTAATTCCCCACTTCCATGCCTGTGTTTTTTCCTCTAGCTTTTCAGAGTACCATCCCCACTTTAGTTACTCTTCTGAGCAGCCTGAACTTCAGAAAATTTCAAGGTCCTTAAGCAGATCAAACCAGTCAGTCCTAAAGGAAACCAGTCCTGAATATTCGTTGGAAGGACTGATGCTGAAGCTGAAGCTCCAATACTTTGGCCATCTGATATGAAGAACGGACTCCTTGGAAAAGTCACTGATGCTGGGAAAGATTGAAGATGGGAGGAGAAGGGGATGAGAGAGGATGAGATGGCTAGATGGCATCACAACTTGATGGACATGAGTTTGAGCAAGCTCCAGGAGTTGGTGATGGACAGGGAAGACTGGTGTGCTGCAGTCCACGAGGTCGCAAAGAGTTGGACACGACTGAGTGACTGAACTGACTGTCTCATGCACAGGGATAGCAAAGCAAAATCCATCCTGACTGACTGACAGACAGTGGGTATTGTAAGACACCTGAGCTTAAATTTTTCTAAAGTGGAAAAGAAAAGTCACCACTGACTGGTGTTAGTACCATGAATGTGGGGGAGGAAATTAGTAATTTGTCTCACAGATTTTTCATGAACTAAGCAAATATCTATTTCATTTTCAACTATGATTTATTAATGATAGGAACCAATTTTTTTTTAAAAAAATTCCTATTTCCAGTGCCCAAATAGACCATAGGGTAGACTGCAAACTGAATACATTTTAATGATAAATGAGACACCCAAATGAATTTTACAACTGTGAGAAGCCATTCTGCGGCATTTGTTCATTCTCCTCTTGTTTGGTTATTCTTCAGTGGAAAAAGCTGAGATACCCTAGGAAATCAGGAGGTGAAGAACAGCAATGCTATCCTATTGACATTGTTGAAGCATAAACATGGTGATTTATTTTCTAAAAATACATTAGTTCAGTCAGTCAGTCAATCAGTTCAGTTGCTCAGTCATGTCCAGCTCTTTGCGACCCCATTGACTGCAGCACACCGGGCTTCCCTGTCCATCACCAACTCCCGGAGCTTGCTCAAACTCATGTCCATCAAGTCAGTGATGCCATCCAACCATCTCATCCCCTGTTGTCCCCTTCCCCTCTTGCCTTCAATCTTTCCCAGCATCAGGGTCTTTTCCAATGTGTCAGTTCTTCATATCAGGTGGCCAAAGTATTGGAGCTTCAACTTCAGCATCAGTCCTTCCAATGAATATTCAGGACTGATTTCCTTTAGGATTGATTGGTTGGATCTCCTTGCTGTCCAAGGGACTCTCAAGAGTCTTCTCCAACACCAAAGTTCAAAAGCATCAATTCTTCGGCACTCAGCTTTCTTTATAGTCAAATTCTCACATCCATACATGACTACTGGAAAAACCATAGTTTTCACTAGACAGACCTTTGTTAGCAAAGTAATGTCTCTGCTTTTTAATATGCTAAGTTGGTCATAACTTTTCTTCCAAGGAGCAAGCATCTTTTAATTTCGTGGCTGCACTCACCATCTGCAGTGATTTTTGGAGCCCCCAAAACAAAGTCTCTCACTATTTCCACTGTTTCCCCATCTGTTTGCCATGAAGTGATGGGACCGGATGCCATGATCTTAGTTTTCTGAATGTTGACTTTTAAGCCAACTTTCACTCTCCTCTTTCACTTTCATCAAGAGGCTTTTTACTTCTTCACTTTCTGCCATAAGGGTGGTGTCATCTGCATATCTGAGATTATTGATATTTCTCCTGGCACTGTTGATTCCAGATTGGGCTTCGTCTGGTCCAACATTTCTCATGATGTACTCTGTATATAAGTTAAATAAGCAGGGTGACAATATACAGCCTTGAGGTACTCTTTTTCTTATTTGGAACCAATCTGTTGTTCCACGTCCAGTTCTCACTGTTGCTTCTTGACCTGTAAACAGATTTCTCAGAAGGCAGATCAGGTTCAGTTCAGTCGCTCAGTCGTGTCCAACTCTTTGCGACCCCATGAATCGCAGCACGCCAGGTCTCCCTGTCCATCACAAACTCCCAGAGTTTACTCAAACCCATGCCCATTGAGTCAGTGATGCCATCCAGCCATCTCATCCCCTGTCGTCCCCTTCTCCTCCTGCCCTCAATCCCTCCCAGCATCAGGTTACTGGTTTTTAATTTGGATTTAATAATTTCTGAACAAGACCAAAGCAATACAGATACATTTCTCTGCTTTGATCTTTGATACCTTCTGTTCAAGGCTAATTTCTCTTTGTACTGCAGTCGCCAGCCTCTCCTGTCTCCTAAGTGGCCTCTCTACATCAAATACCCCTTTCCTGGATCCTCAACCTCTCTACTGACTTTTTTCCTTAACAACATATTAAAATCTCCTGCACTCTGCAGCCTCAGGCCCTGCCCAATGTTTAAGTCCTGTGTTCTTTGCTAGAGATGATCTTTGTTCATCTTCATAGCGAAGCTTCTGAAAGATGCTTCAGAAGATGATGATACTGCCTATATTCCCTACTTCCCTTTCCACCACACTCCACAGAAGCTGCCCATACTAAAGACGAAAACCTCTATTTTCCTAAACTCCACAGAGCCGTTTTAGAGAGACAGAATAGAGTAGTGGTAACAAGCACAGACTTAGAAGCCAGATCCCCCAGAATTTAAATCCCCATTCTGCTTCTTATCAACTGCATGATTTTGCCCAAGTTTTGTACCTCATCTTCCTCATTTATAACAGGGGCTAATTGTGAGGACTTAAACACTTAGGGTTGTTGGATAATTAAGTGAACTAATACTATAAAGTGCTTAAAACAGCACTTAGAAGATAGTAATTATCATGTAAACCTTATCCAATAATCTTTGATGCTATCTCATCCAGTATCTTTCATAATATTTGACATTGTTCCTCAACAACCTTTTAATTGAAATTTTCCCTTGATTGTCATGACCTATTTTTGTTCATTTTCCTAATTTGCTGGCTGCTCCTTCTTTATCTTGGTTTCCAGGCTTCCTGTTTTGCCACTCTCTGTATTTAAAACTAAAACAAAATCACACTTTTAAAGATTTTAAGTTTGGGAATAACTGAACTATTCTATGAATGGGTTCCCATTTCCTACAAGATAAAATTCATGAATCGAAATCACATTAGAAAATCTCTGACCTATTTCCCATCCTCCATTCCAGCCCCATCTTCAACTCCTTCCTTCTAATCTTCAAGCTTCACCTCAAGTCCCACGTTGTAGAGTCATTTCTGACCCTTTCTCAAATAAGTGCGCTTCTCCCTGTTCCCACACTACTTTATATAACTTCTACCTTTATCACACCATGTGACACCTGGTGCTGTGAAGCCTCAGAGGAATGGAACTGAGTCTTTCCCACTTTTAAATTCCTAACATTCAGCCTGCTGTCTGGTGAATTGGAAGTGTTCCATAAACATCTGTTGAGTAAATGAAACAATGAATAAAATGAGCACCTTTGTATCTTTAAAGAAAAAGCTACAGAGTTCAAGTCAACACTCATTGAGACCTTTCTATACACAATGCAGAGATCAGAATTCAATATCTTACCACAACACAGTCACTACTATTGATGTAGCCATATACACAATCCTGGCAAGCACAGGCTCTGGTATGACTGTTCATAATTCAGCTTCACTAGTTACTAAGTGTGTGATCCTGGACAAGTTACTCAATATCTTCCTGCACCAGTTTCGTCCTAAAAGAAAAACAATAACAAACATCTTATGGAATTTTTGCTACAAGTTAAAGAGATAATAGGAGGTACTGGTGGCTCAGAGGTAAAGAATCTGCCTACAATGCAAGCAACATGGGTTCCATCCCCGGGTGCAGCAAGATCCCCTGGAGAAGTAAATGGCAACCCACTCCAGTATTCTTGCCTGGGAAATTCCATGGACAGAGGAGCCTGGCGGGCCACAGTCCATGGGGATAGCAAGAGAGTTGGACGTGATTTAGTGACTCAACACAATAATGAGATAATACATGTAAAATGAGAACAATGTCTGGAATATATCACATACTCTGAAGTTATTAAAAATGATTTCAAATATTAAAAAGCTCTGTATAGAATATTTGGGCCTTACTTAGAAATTTTCATTATAAACAAACATAAAACTAAGCTGCAGCTCCTCTGGGGAAGAATTCCAGAATTAGGAACATAATTAGTTTACCTTGAATGTATGGGTGTTACGGTATGTTTGAGCCCTCTCAGTGTCTCTGGAGGGTATGAGGTTTGATTCTAAACACAATTTCGCCCCTCCTACTGTCTTGCTGTGGCTTCTCATTTGCCCTTGGCCTCCTCAAAGTGGCTCTAGCAACAAATGGCCAACATCAGTTGGAGCATCGAAAAAGCAAGAGTTCCAGAAAAACATCTACTTCTGCTTTATTGACTATGCCAAAGTCTTTGTGTAGATCACAACAAACTGTGGAAAATTCTTAAAGAGATGGAAATACCAGACCACCTGACCCGCCTCCTGAGAAATCTGTATGAAGGTCAAGAAGCAACAGTGAGAACTGGACGTGGAACAACAGACTGGTTCCAAATAAGAAAAAGAGTATCTCAAGGCTGTATATTGTCACCCTGCTTATTTAACTTATATACAGAGTACATCATGAGAAATGCTGGACTGAATGGAGCCCAAGCTGGAATCAACAGTGCCAGGAGAAATATCAATAATCTCAGATATGCAGATGACACCACCCTTATGGCAGAAAGTGAAGAACTAAAGAGCTTCTTGATGAGGGTAAAGGAGGAGAGTGAAAAAGTTGGCTTAAAAGTCAACATTCAGAAAACTAAGATCATGGCATCTGGTCCCATCACTTCATTGTAAATAGATGGGAAATCAGTGCAAACAGTGTTCATTTGGGGGGGCTCCAAAATCATTGCAGATGGTGAGTGCAGCCACGAAATAAAAAGATGCTTGCTCCTTGGAAGAAAAGTCATGACCAACCTAGACAGCATATTAAAAAGCAGAGACATTACTTTGCAAACAAAGGTCCGTATAGTCAAAACTATGGTTTTGCCAGGAGTCATGTATGGATGTGAAAGCTGGACTATAAGAAAGCTGAGCACCAAAGAATTGATGCTCTTGAACTGTGGTGTGGGAGTAAATTCATGAGCTTCCCTTGGACATCAACGAGGTCCAATCAGTCCATCCTAAAGGAAATCAGTCCTGGGTGTTCATTGGAAGGACTGATGCTGAAGCTGAAGTCCAATACTTTGGCCACCTGATGTGAAGAACTGACTCACTGGAAAAGACCCTGATGCTGGAAAAGACTGAAGGCTGGAGGAGAAGGGGCTGACAAAGGATGAGATGGTTGAATGGCATCACTGACTCAGTGGATATAGTTTGAGTAAACTCCCGGAGTTGGTGAGGGACAGAGAAGCCTGGCATGCTGCAGTCCATGGGGTTGCAAAGAGTGGGACACAACTGAGAGACTGAACTGAACTGAAGAGTGTTAAGACCCTGATGATGCTCTCACCACTCCCTAATCTCAGTATTGTGCTCCCAATTCAAGTCTTTGGTCACATCATCCAGGCTTTCGTTCTCTATATTCCCAGTACTCATCCTTCCCCTTTGATGTCTGAGGGCTTTTAGGAAACTTTTTTTCATTGAACAACAAAGCAGGGGGAGATATAGCTATAGATACATTGACTTCAATCTGAAAGAAAACTCATTTCTGCTCCAACCCAAACATGTGATTACTTAAATTGATTCCAGCCCTGGAGCACAATCATAAAGGACTAGGAAACCTCCTACAATCACAGCAGTTCTACCCTCCTCTGCAGTTTACTGTACCCACACAAAGCCAACACTACCCCCTCTTTAAAGCATTTCATCCGTCTCTCTGGCCACATCTTAGGTGACGGAACGCTTCCACTGTGTTTTGGAAGCCTCAATTTCTTTCAGATCCTTCCCGGGTGTTTTCCCCAGGGTCGGAGGCATCCATCTCTTGTGACGCTACTCTGGCCTACAGTTCTCTTTCAACAGTCTTGAGGAAAGAGAACAGAAGTCGGAGACTGTAATATAAACAGGGTTGCTTCTTAGACAAGCTGGCAGTGGGGTCCTCTAGTTACCCCGCATACCTCCGCAGAGTCAGAAAGCACTCTTAAGCAGAGTCCTCTTCAGCTCCGCCCCGAAACACCACCACGGGCCCTGGAGCGCAGGCGCCCCAGGGCCCCGCCCCCCATTTCAAAGGCTCGGTCCCTATTGGCCCAGAGGCCGGAGATGGAGCGCCCTGGTCTCGGAACCGGGGAGATCATGTGATTCTCGGGGGCGGGGCTGCGCCGGCCGCTTCCCAGCCAGGCTGAAAGGGCTCGGGAAGCTAGCTGGCCTTGTTGGCCCTTAAATCGCATACTGAATGACCTGGCCCCAGCTACCCTCGCCGAGCCGCGCAAAGAAGGCTGCTCCTGGCTCTCGTCGGCCTCCCAGGTTTGTTTTCTTTCTTTTCCCTAAGGTGGGCCCTTAGGTTCACCGTCCGGAGCCTGCGGCCGCCGGGAAAACCAAACCCCGAGTGTCCGGAGAGTAACCGGAAGTGCCCTCCCAGGCGGAGGGGCGGCGCCGGCTGCAGCCGGGGTAAGCGAGGCCCGGGGGGCTTGGGAGGGGCATGGCCTGCGAGGCCCAGGGATGTGTGGAGGGGTTCGGCGGGACTGGAGACCTCTCGGCCTCTGCCTGGTAGGAGCAGCCTCTGTTCCTCGCTACGGTGCAGGGTCTGGAGACCTCCCTGAGGGCGGACTGAAAGGCGGTCAATGAAAAGTTGAAAGAAGGAGAAGCATGGTACTATCGTTCCTGGAAATAATAGTAAACACTGCCGGGCACTTTTCTAAGCGATCTGTATCTTTCACGCTGGGGGGAAAAAAAACAAGGACGTTGAATGGAGTTCTCCACCCACCACCCATCCCCATCTTTAAGGCAGAGATCGGTCGTGTTTCATCCAGTCTGTATGCAGAAGAATCTGGTTTAATCATCCCATAATTATTATTGGAAACCGGCATTATATACAACTTTGTGTCGTAGGCACTTAACAACTGCATCTGGAGGTTTATAGTGGTAGAAGAATGGGTCATTGACCTCAGAAGTTGAGATAATACACTTAGCAGAGGCGAAAAATTGAAACAAGTGAAATAGGATTCAGGGCTTTATTATGAAGTTAGTCATTACCCAGAAAGACTCTTCAATAGTTTGTCTAGAGCTCTCTGGGAGAAAACAATGTGAGGAGAGGTGGGAAGAGATAAGTTATGATTGAAAGATACTGACCAGACTGGGAAGTAAAGGGAACCAATTTTTAGATGTCCAGCGCCAGAAAAATTAAAAATGTCACAAAAATTTTAAATTTCTACATTTTTTACTTTTCCTCCAGGAGAGGGAAGAATTGAGTATTGTTAATAACTATGGACTGGAGACCTTTTGGAGCCAAAAGGAAGACAGTCTTGAGTCTTTCTTGTTATGGTAAGTAGCATAGCAAACTGTGTTTCTATATAAATGGTGGAGTTTTAGGGGACAAGTGAGGGAAACTGGAGGAGAACCAGAAGGAATGGGAGAAGATACTTGGAAAGAAGATACATGACCCTTTCTTAGCTCCTGAGGTAACCCTGCCTACCAATGTTAGTGTATTTTCTACTCCTTTCCAACATGTTTATTCACCATAGGCTTTTAATTATTCCTTCATGATTGATTTGCAGCCCCCAAATGACAATATAGTCAATGCAGGCCCTGGAGTCAGAAGATGGATATTTACATCCTGGCTCTGCTATTTACTAGCTGTGAGTTCTTAGTTATTTAACTGCCCTGAGCATCATTTTTCTACCTGTAAGATACAAACATTGCTCTTAATACCTATTTTACAATCTTGGAAAGATTAAATGAGATAATCCATGTAATCATTGAAAAATAGATGAGATAATCCCTAGCCTGGGGCCTGATACAGTAAGCATTAATAGATAGTGCTTTATTGACTTTAATCTGCTTGTGCCATACATCCTTTAAATGTAAGGATGACCTTGGTCTTTGAAGTTCTACACTCAGCCTGTCTGCTTGGACTTTTACTGCCAGCCTGCCTGTTCTGTGCACTCCAATCCTAGCCATGAAGTGAGAACCAGTCTTTTCCTAGGATGAGGTAAGAGAAACCTGTTAGCAAAGGGTACTCTGAAGCTGAGACTTGAAGGATATATTTTGGTTTGCCATTTGGAACAGCTGGGGCTGTTAGCCTAGCCTAGATTGCTACTGAGGCTTAGAGGATGATGATGACTCTTTTTTGGTTCTGATATTTGTTCATATTTTTCATTCATTCAACAGACATATTCTAGACACTAGGAATATTGCAGTGAACAAAAGACTTCAGTCCTAACCATAATGAAAGTTATATTCTAATAGGAGAAAGAAAGAAATGAACAGATATAAAATACCACAAAGTTGGATGATAAGTGCTATGGAGAGAAATAGCTAATTTAGTTAAAGTTGCCAAGATGTGCCTCTTTTTGAGGAAATAATTTTCAGTCAGAGACTTGAGTCAAATAAAGGAGCAAACTCCTTGGGTGAAAAGCATTTTGAGTAGATGGAGCAAGTGTAAAGATTCTGATGTGTTATGGGAGGCAGAAAAACTGCATTAGGTGGTGTAGTGAGAACCTTAGGTTTCATTGTTAGTGTGGTAGAAACAGTTACAGTATTTTTCACTAGGGAAGTATCATGATTTACTTTAAATTTTGACAGCCAGACTGTATATTATTTTCTAGGTGCTGACATCCATCTGAAAGACTCAAATGTGAATAAGAAAATGGTTTCCTTATTTTAATTTTCTTTCCTTGGTACCCTACAAATTATTGGCTCTTTAGGGCAAATATGACACCCTGAACTGATAAAATTAGGGAATGTTATAATTCATTTACCAGGCTATGACCATGCTCAGAATTGTATGTTTATACTCTAACTCTACTATTGACCTTAACAGCAGTACACATTTTAATAAGATAGAACTCCTGGAAGACCACTGTCTTACAGTAGCTGTTTGCATGACTCCAGAGCTTTACTTAGCTGTGATTTTGAAGTCCTCCTTTTCCTTCTAACATTTCTCCATAAATGTTTTTTTTCCTAGTTTTTGCATAATCCTCATATTAATCATTAACTGATTGAGTTATTTCATTATTTAGTTAATTATTTTAATGCATTTTGAACAAGGCTTTGCATAAGAGACTGGCACAGAGGATGACCTCAAGAAATGTTAGGGTTTTTGTGACCCTGAAGAGGGTATTAAGAAAATAATAGAACCTGCCATTTACTGAGCATCTGTTAATTGAGCACCCAGGTCCTGAGCCAGGTCCTTTATTGACAGTATTCTAGTTCTCCTGGCAACTCCTTAAGACATGTAATAGTATCTTCCTTATTTTGTCAAAAGGGAAATAAAAGCTGAAGGAAGTAACTTACCCAAATTCTCATAGCTACAGAAGAACATAGTGGGAATTCGAACCAAAATCTGATTCCGGGGTTTGAACATTCAACTTCAGCTAGCATAGTATACCAACTCTCAGCTCCCATGTTTTTAAAACACAAGATAAGATACATTTAAATTTTGAAATAATTTCATATTTACAAAAAGTTGTAAAATAATATAAGAATGCTCATACACCCTTCACCCACACTCCCTAAATGTTAACATTTTACTGTATTTGTTTTATGAGTCTGTCTACTTACTTCTCTGTACATACATGTACCTTTGTGTACATTTTTTTCCTGACCCTTTTGAGAGTAAGTTACAGACATAATGCCTCATCTCAAATGATGAGAGAATTAAGTCCTAAAGTCCTAAGACATGCTAAGCCCTAAAATCCTAAGAGAATTAAATCCTAAAGTCATAGGTATTAATGAATTAACTTCTCTCCCATGTAGTGCTATTAGCTAAATGCATTTTTGGGAGAATTAAAAAAATAGTTACTCAAATCATTTTCCATAGGACTTCATTCCTTCACAGAATGCTAGTTGAAAAAGTCTGTCCTAAATACTTAATTTTTTATTCCCTAAAAACAAGTCTATTCTCTTTTATTATCTTTACAGTTATCAAAGTTAGGAAATTAACTTTCATGTAATACTATTATCTGATCTCAAGACGTTAGAGTTTAGCCAGTTATTCCACTAATGTCATTTTAGGAAAAGAAAAACAAGTTATTTTTGTTGTCCAAGATCCAATCCACCACCACCCATTTCATTTAATTGTCGTGTCTTTATTGTGGAACATATCCTCAGATTTTGTCTTCCATAACTTTGACTTTTTTTTTTAAGTTTAAGCCATTTATTTGGCAGAATTTCCTTTAATTTGGCTTTGTCTAGTGTTTCCTCCTGATGAGATTCAAGTTACAATGTTTAATGTTCTGTTCCTCTCTTTGTGTCATATTAGGAGACAAGTTTATATCTTGTTATTGATGATGTTAACTGATCATTAGTTAAGATGGCATCTTCCAGGTTTCTGTGAAATTATTTTTTTTGTGTCTTTGTAATTATTAAATGTCTAGTGGGGAAATATATTCTGACTGTGTAAATATCCTGATTTTCATAAAACTTTTCATCCACTGTATTTTTGCCTGAAACAATTATTGCTCTTCTTTTGATTAGACATGTGATGTTTTTAATTCCATCATTTCTTCTACATTTAGTTATTGGTTTCTTTAATAAAGGAAAAACTTTCCCTTCTCCCTTACTATTATTTATTCACTTTTTAAATGAGTATGGATTCATCGATTCTTACTGAATTACTTACTACTGTCTGTATTTATTTTGATGTTGTTTGTCCCAGATTTGTGTAGTGGCAGCCCCTTCAGTGAGGCTTCTGGTCCTCTTAGCATATTATCACCACTTTTTGAGCACGCACTTGTTTTCTGGAACAACAAGATGTTTCAGGTTCATTGTGTGCTTTCTAAACCCTGAGATTAGCCATTTCTCCAGTGAGCCCTGGTTCCTTTCAGTGGGAAATGATATTTAGAAACCAAAATCTGAGTGCTTGGTATGCTCGTTACTATTGGGATTTCAATGTTTCTGTGATCTCTCAGCAGACATTAGGAGACCAAAAAAAAAAAAAAACAAAAAACTTTAACATTTCTATTTTTTCTGTGTATACTTCAAAACCTTGACTTCCTACTAATACTTCTAATTCCAGTTAAACACTGTAGATAGAGAGTTCATTCTAGCCTTTCTCTTTTCTGTTTCTGACTCCCTCATCTGACAGTGAGACTTCTGGTTGCCTTTATATTTACTTATTTTGTCATTCCTGGTCTATGCATTAAGTAGTGAACCTTTACCAACATGGGGGAAAACTCCTACTAATTACAGTTCAGTAATTGTTTATAGTTCTTTTTATCTTTAGTTTGAGTTTATATAATGCTAATACTGTATTAGAGAATTTTTTGAGTTATTTTCCCCCTCCTGGGTGGTTTTATTATTAATTTGAAATTCAGACTTCTTTGTTTTTATTTGAATTCTATTTTATTTTCTCCCCTAGCTTTTCTGTTTATTTATTTATTGAATATGTGAAATATAACAGTTTAAAAAGTTAAAATGTGTGTTTTACAAAAACATACTAAAGAAGAGTATGACTCTCTTTCCTTCACCTTTTGGTACCAGTTTCACTTTCCTGTCCTTTTGATCCCATTTCCATCTGCCTTATAATAACCAAACTCATTAGTTCTATCTTTTCTAAGTTTCTTTTTGACCAAATGAATAGATCCATGTGTAGTTTTTTAAATTTCTACTTCATTCTTATGAAAATGTAGCATACTTTTTTACACCAGTGCTTTCTAAAATTTATAGTTTATCCTGAAAACTGCTCCACATCAGTTCAGAAAAGTTACCTTCATCCTGTTTCACAGCTGCAGAGTACCTCATTATATGTGAACATACCTGCTCTGTGCCAGACACTGTCACAGGTGCTAGAGAAACAGCAACAAATGAAATGAACTAAAATCTTTGTCCTTTAAGGGGCTTACGTTCTATGGAGAAAAATAAGACGTGAAACGAGAGGAAGGATGTTACATGTGTGGGTCATCTGGGATGGAGATGTGTCATAATTTAAAATAGGATGGTCAGTTATGGCCTTACTGAGAATATGACAATTTATCAAAGATAAGAATTAAAGACAATGAACAGATTGATTTCTTTTGAGGAATTTTGCTGTAAATAGAAAGAAGTGAGAGTAGCTTAAGGATGAAGTGGTTGAGAGAAGTTTCTTTTTGGTGCTGTTGTTTTAGGAGAGGGATTCTTTTGAGAAATTTTGCTGTAAAGAGAAAGAAGTGAGAGTAGCATGAGGATGAAGTGGTTGAGAGAAGTTTCTTTTTGGTGCTGTTTTAGGAGAGGGAACGGCTAGTTTGCTGATTAGTATGACTCAGTGGAGAAGAACAAATTGGTATTGCAGAAGAGAGGATAGAATTGCAGGAGTGATGTCCTTGTGGTGAAAAGGGGGTGGAATCCAGTACCCCGACCAACAGATTGTCCTTAGATTGAGCAGGGGCAGTTTGTCATCCATGGTAACAGAAGGAAAGATGGAGTGCATGACCACACTTGCAAGAGGTTGGTTGTTGTGGTGGAAGCATGTGCAAGTGTTTTTTATGTTACTGTTTTTTGCCTTCCTTTGATTTTCTCAGTAAAATAGAAAGCACAGTCATCAGTTTTTATTCCTTAGGTGACAGAGGAGGGGGTTTGAATATATGAGAAGGTCAAACATGAAATGATCATTGAAAAGAGTAAGTGTGAAGGATATGGAAAATGGGGTTTCTTCCCCTGTTTCTCATGTTTCTTCTTTAGTATATTATTGGCAGTTGATAAATACAATAGTTTATTACATTTATCTTCTTCTCCCTTGAATTGGCCCATTGTTCTTCCTTAGTGTTAGTCTGTATTTCTGTATTTCCTGTTGGGCTTGAACCTTTAACTTATCTAGTGGTGTAGCGTACAGAAGATAGGGCCTGAGTAGAAAGACCTCAGGCTTCTCAGGTGGCTCAGTGATAAAGAATCCGCCTCCCAATGCAGAAGACAAGGGTTCAGTCCCTGGGTCAGGAAGAGCCCCTGGAGAAGCAAATAGCAACCCACTCCAATATTCTTGCCTGAGAAATTGCATGGACAGAGGAGCCTGGTGGGCTACAATCCATGGGGTTGCAAAAGAGTTGGACACGACTTAGCGACTAAAAGACAACAACAGAAAGACCTCAATGTCTCTCTTCTTTCTGTCTCTCCTTTTTAATCTGCCAGTCATTTGAAGATGTGATTGTCTGTCTTACTGCGGAGGAGGAGTAGAGTGGTTGGACTCTGAGCACAGGGCCCTTTTCAATAATGTTATAAAGGAGAATTATATAATTGTGATCTTTCTGTGTGTAAGGACTTCTTTAAGATGCTCAATCTTTGGGTATTTCAGTACATGTACATCCCTCTAAAAACAAGAAAACCTGTCCCATATCCCTTCACTGTACAAAGAAAAGCCTGGCATTAAAGACAGGTTTGAAGCCCAGGCTTTTAGCTACAGTCATTTTTCTTTTTGAGCAAGGTTTGTGCTCTTATGATCATATCAAAGCAGAATCTTAGATCCCTTTATCATAATAATAGTTATTATAAGAGCTAACACAGAATGCTTACCATGAAATACTGATTATTATTCAACTCAATGATGTGAGGTAACTCCCATCATTCATCCATTTTATAAATGAAAAAACTAGCTACAGAGTGATTAAGAAACTTGCCAGACATCACACAGCTAGGATGATAGTAAAAGAAACTTTTCTCTCTCTTTACACTGAAAATTCTAATAATCATTTACCATTTCCTTCCAAACATTCTGCAGAAAGGACTGCACAGGTATTCGTAGTCCCTTTTGGGTGGTTTTCCTCAAGAGAAGGCCTATTAATTAGTAGATGTCTTGATTACTCAGTTGAACCAAGGGAAGAGGAGGAATCCTGGTTTTGAGATCACTTGAATTGATAAAAGAAACAATTCTTCCTGGTACTTTCCATGTATGTGTTGCTGATTTGTTTTAGTTAGAGAAAAACTTACTGCTTTCAACCCCTGTAAAACGTAGAGCACTTGTGGAATTTGATGCAGAAATTCTCTTTTCTACAGCAATTTTAATTTTGAGCATTTTAGTTATGGAAATATAAATAATATTTTTTCTTTGTTTCACAGGATTGTAAATACCACATAAAGAATGAGTGCATGTGATGCTGGAAACTTGTAGAGAGGAACTACTCATGACTGAAAGGCCTAAAACAGATGTATCTTTTGAGTTCTTATCGAGAAAATGACTATGAAGAAAGTGATGGGTCAGGAAGACCAGTGGAAAACTCCTTAGGAGAGAGCCATAGAAAATGTACACTTCAGAAGAGAGAGATAATCAGAGAACTCAAAAAAGGAAAATATATCATGTATGCCCTCAGAAGGGTAAAAAGATTTTTATTCGTGTGCATGAGATTACTCAAATAGATGATCAGATATACCAGTGCCTTGAACGTGAGCAAAACTTTTGTGAAAACTTAGCTCTTATTATGTGTGAGAGAACCCACACTGGGGAGAAACCTTATAGATGTGATATGTGTGAGAAAACCTTCATCCAAAGCTCAGATCTTATTTCACATCAGAGGATCCACAGTTACGAGAAACCTTATAAATGTAGCAAATGTGAGAAGAGCTTTTGGCACCACTTAGCCCTTTCAGGACACCAGAGAACGCATGCAGGTAAAAAATTCTATACATGTGATATCTGTGGCAAGAATTTTGGTCAGAGCTCTGATCTGCTTGTCCACCAGCGAAGCCATACAGGCGAGAAACCATATCTGTGTAGTGAGTGTGATAAATGTTTCAGCCGAAGTACAAACCTCATAAGGCACCGAAGAACTCACACGGGTGAGAAACCATTTAAGTGTCTGGAGTGTGAAAAAGCTTTTAGTGGGAAATCCGATCTTATTAGCCACCAGAGAACTCATACTGGTGAAAGACCCTACAAATGTAATAAGTGTGAGAAAAGTTACCGACATCGGTCAGCCTTCATTGTTCATAAGAGAGTACATACTGGGGAGAAGCCCTATAAGTGTGGTGCCTGTGAGAAGTGCTTTGGCCAGAAATCAGACCTCATTGTCCACCAGAGAGTCCACACAGGTGAGAAGCCGTATAAATGCTTGGAATGTATGAGAAGCTTTACCCGGAGTGCCAACCTCATCAGGCACCAGGCAACTCACACTCACACTTTTAAATGCCTTGAATATGAGAAGAGCTTCAGCTGTAGTTCAGACCTTATTGTACATCAAAGAATTCACATGGAAGAGAAACCGCATCAGTGGTCTGCATGTGAGAGTGGCTTCCTCCTAGGCATGGACTTTGTTGCCCAACAGAAAATGAGAACTCAGACAGAGGAGCTGCATTATAAATACAGTGTCTGTGATAAAAGCTTTCACCAGAGCTCAGCCCTTTTTCAACATCAGACAATCCACATCGGTGAAAAACCATATATCTGTAATGTGGCTGAGAAAGATCTTGAGCTCAGCCCTCCCCATGTATCAGAAGCCTCACAGATGTCTTGACCAGACAAGAAGTTATTATACCATAAACAAACAAACAAAAAAAGGTGTATTTACAATGTAAGAGAACTCATTTAAGATGGAGAACTCAAAGCAGATCTCAGATTTTCCTCAGAGCTCAGACTTTATTGGGGACCAGAAAATCTGCAGTTATAGGAACTTGAGAACTGGTTTGACCAGAGAGCTGTCTTTACAGAATGGTATCAATCCCTCCAGTGAGAAACCTTACAAATGCCCTGAGTTTTTTGAAAACCTTCAGTCCAAGCTCATGCCTGATCACCACAAGAGGATTTATACAGGTGGGAAACTTACAAGTTCTGTGAATGTGAGAAAGCTCTCTAGCAATGCTCACCTCTCCTCATTCCAAGAGAATTCAGATCAGAGGACGATATTTTTTTAATGCCCTGTGAAACAGTGCTTCAGACAGTATGCACGCCTCATTGGACATCAGAAAGCCCCACTGGAAAGAAACCCCAGCAGTTGTGAAAAAAGCCTCTTAACATAACTGTGACTTTATTACCTATCAGAGAAGCCATACAGGTGAAAATTTGTGTATTTGCCTTGAATGTGGCAAAAGCAGTAAGTGAAGAGCCTTCTTGGGTTTGCAGCCCCCCCTCCCCCAAAAGAAGAAAATCTGATGAAGGACCTTATGAATTCTCTGAATGAGAAAACTTCTGTCAGTGATCAGTTCTTGTACACCAGGGAACTTGTATAAGTGAAAGACCCTATAAGTAACCCTAAGTCTGGGGGAGAAAAAAAAATCCATGCAGGAAATCTCTACCTTATTGGGCCCCAAAGAAACTACTCTGGAGAGCATTTTGTAGACCTCTATAGAGGTCTAACTGTGAACTGTGTACATTTAACAGGTATGAGAAGAACTGTTCTCATAGTTAGTTGACCCCTGTAGTAGAGATGACTTTTAATGGAGTCGACATGCAAACAGTTTTGTTTAGATACCCAGGAACTTGTTCTGGGAAGAGCTAGGGCAGGTCAGAGTAGGCCTGATGGGTTACTCAGGTAAAGATGCTTTTCTTTTATCTGAACCACTGAATGATTGCTTTACTTTCAGTTTTTAAAATTTGGAACTCTAATAAAAGAAAGGACTGTAATTGAGATAGAAAGTGTGGCATGTGTTACTGTTGGGAAAAGAAGTACATTGACTTTGCCTCTGTTGATTTTCTAATTCTTGGGTAGAACGGGGACTAGTGTGTTGATAACAGCATGGGAACCTTCTGCTGGTTGTGAAAAGAACCAAACAGCTAGGGAGTAGTTATCCTAAATCAAAACACTCCCCAGAATTTCCCCTTTGGAGGACCAGCCTCGTAATAAGGCAGAATGCTCAGCATTTTACTTGGTGTGAATTGAGGCATGCCCTCAGTCCTCGCCCTAAAATATCTTTCAGGTTATTAATTGGTATTTGCAATTTCAGCTTTAGAGATTTGTTTTGTTATCAACACAGAAGTGCAAATTCCAGGATGATCATTACGATTTTGCTTGTTGCCATATTTTTGTGACTTCATTTATCACGTTTCTTTCAATGGTAAGAGACAATCAGTCAATTCCTTGCAAAATGTTTAAGGGAAGGCTGACAGAAAGACTCAAGTCTGAGTCCGCACAGAGTAAAACACCTACTGATACATTATTAATGGAGAAACGACTGATTTTAAGAATCCTGACTGAAGAGCTGGTGTTTTTTTTTTCCCCCCACTCCAACATCCTGTTTATAGCAAATCCAAACCTCATGATATACCTTTCATTTATTTTGATTCTGCCAAGGAAATAGAATACTTTTTTACTTCTGGGGAAAGACAAGTTACCACAATATAAGGTGTACATTTGGCTTGTAGAGTAGAGTTCTAAATGCTAGAAGGGAAAAGGAGTTGGCAAATTCATCAGAGGTTTCAGGATAAGCACTTATCTCCAATTTAGTATAATTATGATTAATATTCTCCAGAAATACTCTAGTCCAGGGATCTATAAATGCATGCTTGTGAGGGTTTTTTTTTTTCCCCCCTCCCTCAGGTTAAAAGACATTTAATATAAATACTTAAGAGTCCTCCAGTATTTGGGACTGTAAACTGGTGAATAAGTACTTGCGGTCCTCTGATTTATCTTAGCAGATCCTGAACCCTAGGCAGCATTGGTATTTGGACTCATGGGGGTGGCCAGCTGCTACACGGCCACCTTGAGAATGGCTCCAAGCTTTGATCTTAATGACAGGTTTGTGACCTGGATAACCTTAGGGTCAGAGGAATAACTCATAGTGATAAGGAATCTGACTCTAGGCTGTTTTTTCTTTCTTTTAGAAAACAGATCCTGGAAGTTTATTTGATCTGAGGTGTTTTGGTAATTTTCATTAGCTCTTACACCATAAAAACTTCTTCAGTGTGATAAAACACACAAGATGTATTTGTTTCTCTTCGATGAAAATCATGCCTATCACTAGTATATGTTTGACAGTTGTAATTCTTAAAATAGTATTGGATGTATGGCTTGGTAGAGATAAAAATTAGTCCTTATCACTACTTGTTAGTCATTAGAACTTGGAGAAGGGCACAGTTGTAACTTTGGTGGGGCAATGACCTGCCCCTTTCAACTAATCTTACTGGTAATTGTCTCTAGTCTTTAAGTAAATTAAGGATGGACCATCCCTCAGCCAAAACTTTGAGGGTATGAAATAGGTCTGAGGGCTTTTAACCATGGGGAAAAAGGGTGTTGGTATTACTCATATAGAATAACCTGAGGTTGGAGAGGACCACTTGGGAGCCTGTAACCAAAACTAGAAGGTAACTTCTGGAACGGAGGGAGGTTCTCTTGAGACAGTGCCAACCTAAATCTACCTCAGGTAAGTAGTTAGAGGAACTTTATCAAGATTTCAGACCAAACAAGACACTTGTATTCAGTCAGTGTATTCCTATACTTTAATGTTTTTGTTTTCCCTTAATTCTTAAATAAAAACATTGTTCTGAAAACTCCATCTTTGCCTCCACTGTACTAAGAAAAAGCGTTTCCCCTACATTTGTGTTACCGTAAAGCAGATGTTCAGGAATCCTTACCGTGTGTACATATATTAAACCATCATCATGTATACTTTAAATACCTTACATTTTATTTGTCAGTTACACCTCAGTAAAGCCAGGGAAAAAGAATAAAGTGGATATTCATGTGACCTTTAGGCCTGCTGGTGATACTAGCCATTGGACCATCACTTGAATTCCAGGAATTTTTTAAAAATAGGATCCTGGGAATTTTTGATGTTAAGAAAGAGAGTGAATGAAAACCTGGGAGGGATTACTGTCTTTGCTGTAGCCTTTGGGTTCTATTGGAGCCTCCCCACTGCATTACATACCAAGCGTGGGGAGGAGTAATAGCTTAAACTAACCATGTGTGGGGCTAAAACTCAGAAACCAGCAAAACTGTCTATGTGAGTAAGCTACACCCTCAAAGGACAATTTTTGAACTTTCAATTCCCAGTAAGTAGAATCCACATATGACTCCAGTTCTACTTTCTCCCACCTTGTCTTATCGTTTGTGGGAGATGGTAAAAATGATGGCGTTGGTGTACCTCCCATTACAAAGTTTGCTCCAGTTTACATCTATTTGCTCTGTCACAGAATAGGTCCTAGCGTTTTAAGGGGTTCTCACTGTGGGAAAAGAATAAGAGTTAAGACCGTTTGGGTTGTCTGAAGTTTGGATTCGTGAAAAGGGGAAGGGGCAATGGTACAGTTTCAAGGCCTGTGGCCTTCATGCTTATTCCCCCCACTTAAAGTGATGCTGGGCTGTGGTGAGGAATATTTCTGGAAAAAACTCTAGTCATATCCCTTACAAGTAAGTAGAGGGATGGTGCCACACTGTCTCTGGGGTAGAAGAAGGGAAAGGTGCTTCCCAGGACACACACATGAGCCACCGGAGTTGAAATAGTTCATGTCACTTCCGGGATGACGGGGGTGGGGTGGATTTGTAACACAACTGAAGCTTTCTTGTTTCACGCCCCAAACGTTAACTTGTGTCCTTACTCAACCCAAGTGGAGACTTGAATTTAAAAGTGAGGGAGCCTGAAGGCTGTTAACCCTTGCAGAAAGAATCCTTTTCCACCCAGCAGAGGACGCTTTAAAAATAGAGATACAGAGATCCTACTATCAGTAGTGACTGATAACATCAAATAACTGATAATTAGTGAAGAAAATCGAAGACTGGAGTAGCTCCTGGTGTTTATCTTTTATACCCACTTTCAAATTCTCTACAACCCTCTTGTACCCAGGAATCTTGGTCTTGATTTCCTGGCTCAAAAAGTTGCATTAATACATCTGAGAAAGAGAAGTCTTATACAAAATTCTAAGTGGACCTCACTATCGAATCCCACACCTCTTCTAAATGAGGAGTCTGTCTCCCAGGTGGAGAAGTTGGTGCTGCTTTGGAACACATGAGGAGTTTGTTTGGGGGCAGTAGGGCCATATCGTGGTTTGCCAACAGGCTGTTTAAACCAGATCAGTTGTTCTGACTGGGCAGGGAGGGGACTGATAAGGGAGTTGTATGGAACTGTCACTGCTGCCGTGACCTGGCTTCTCTGTCAACGTCATAAACCCACACTCTCAGGCCTCATTCTCCATCCCTATTCAGCCACCACCACCATCCCCATAAGGTCGTCGACTACACCGAGAAAAACCTCCAATAGTCAGAGCCCTCCTGACCACTTCAAATCTCTATCCTGCCTTTTTTCTGAAGCAGTAAATACCCTGGCTCATTTAACATGCCAAGCGCATTCTCTCCAACAACCTCTGGAACCTTCCTTCTTTACCTCTCTCTGGATTTTTCACTTATTTCTTTCATTAAGATTTTTCCCTTACATCGTCAAAAAAAAATGTAGATGTCCTTTCATTCCCTGACTTTTTTTTTAAGTTTAGGTTGCCCTTAATATGCTAGTTTTTCTCTTCTTTTTTCCCCCATTCCAGAATTCATCAGCTTAAAATCTATACCGCCTCCATTTCTCAGTATTCATTTCCTATCACTAGCCTCCCTAGTATTTATTCTCTGATGATCAGAAGTGACTGTGTAAGATATCCATGGATAAAGCAGTCTACTGGACAGGCACAATTTCATGGAATGTGGGCCAATGATAACCAATATTTAAAGGGAAGCGCAGTTTTCAAATGGCCATTCTTTGTGTTCCATTGTACAGCATTAAGTCTTTATACAGACCAGTTAAGAGTGAGGAGGTTTTTCCCAATATTCTTTCCCTGAGAATTGAGAGTCTCAATAGAGCATCTTTACTGAATATGAATACTTTATGCACCATTGAATCTTGTAGCATAAAGCCCAGTTTCAGAGCAACTTGCTCAGTAATCTAAATCAGCTACAAAGTAACTTCATGGACTTAGATGAAGTAGGTAGAATCTTGGTAAGCCTCCATGTATCCCTCATTTGTCACTTACAGGGAAGAGGTCTTCAACTGTTCTTACACATTGTGTTACTGGGGCTTCTGAGTGCTTACTGAATGACTTGCCTCCTTGGGTCCTTCTCCGGGAAATGATATGTCTCCATGTTTCCTGGTGATCAGAGGAACTAACACTCTCCCCAAACTGCCCAATTGAGGATGAATATTAGGCATTTGAATCAGAACTTTTGAAAATTTCTATTAGGATCAGGCAAGAAATTTTAGGGGGAGACGTACAAAGAAAGAACTAAGAATGTAATGACTGATGAGTGAGGGCCCAATATCTAAATCACTGCTATTAAGGGAAAAGAGACCAACAGTGACTGATGATCTCAATTTTAAGAAAATGTGTGGCCATCTTGAACATTTAGAATATTCCCCAAGAAATAATAATTTAAAAAGAGGTACAAAAAGGAAGATCCCTCATCATCTCAGCAGTCATCTCAAGCTCTATGCTGATGAGTTAGCAAATAATTCTGCTCCTTTTCTTAGCCATAGTAAAGTAAATTATCTCTGGCAGCATGCCTATGCATTATGTGAAAGCTGTTTAATGAAAAACGAGCATGTCTGGGGTTTTTTAGTAGCTCAATCTAGAAGTGTCAACTGACAAAGGAAATATAATACTTGAAAAAAGCTTATTAAACAGGTTTTGCTGTGGAATAGAGAACAATATTCGAAGACCAAGATGGCATTGTTAAATGGGAAAAATAGAGCCTTCACAGTAGAATCAACAGGGAAGATTTTGTAAATAACAAGGCCTGACTTCTTCCAAAGAGATGCTGATTCAATGAATCCAGAAGGGTCTGATCCTAGAAAACATTTTTTTTTTAATCTCTTCAAAAGATTGTAATAAGTATCTAAGGTTGAGAACCACTGACATACAGGCATGAGAAATTGTTAAGATTTTTAAAGTCAGACATTAGGTGAATATTTCAAGCAGTTTATATTATTAATGATGAAAGAAAGAGATCATTCTCCACTATCTGGTGTAAAAAACAATGCTTGTGCTGGAAACAGGAATAATTACCTTGGTGACCTTGGAAAAAAAATGAAGATAACTTCATCAGTGTAATTAAAGGCAAGGGACAAAATCCCCCTGGACTAAGAAATTTAACTAGGGGAAAAAAAAAACTTAGAAATTTAAGCCTTTTTATTTATTCAGTCAGGGCTATTGTATTTTCTTGGGGATCACCAGAAGGTAAGATTGGAAAAAGAAGTTTAAATTACAAAATTTCTAACACCTTACAAGCCAAGGAAGAACAGAGATTGTCAGCAACCACCAGAAGCGAGGTGAATGCCAGGAAACTGACTCTTTTTTGCAGCCTTCAGAAGAATCAGTTTTGCTGACACCTGGTTCTGACATGCCTAGCCTTCAGAACTGTGGGACAGTAAGTTTTGATTGTTTAATCCTCCTAGTTTTTGGTACTTTGTTATGGATGTGTAGCAAGCAAATACAATAGGATTAAATACCATCAATGTAATAATGGTAATGATTAAGATGGTCGAATCTTATATTTTCTGAGTTAATATATTTTAGATTAAGCTTTATGTTGAGTTATAATCTTTTATTGTTTTTGCAACCACCCTGAGAGATGATATTAGTTTCACTATAGAATTGTTTTTAGAGACGATTCCTGAGAATAGTGCTGTCGGCAGTAGAGCAGTGATTCAACCACAGATCTGTGGGATCTTTAAGTCCCAGTTTACTCTCTGCTCTAAGAGCAGTAGAAGAGGCCATATGACTGAGTGTAGTGAGTGGGGAGCATATTGTCTGTTAATGAAACAGACTTCATGAGGATGATGTAGTTGTTCTAGAGTTTGGAATGAAGGAATGAACTGAAAACTTAGGGGCAACTTGGAGAACAAAGCTTGTTCTTCATGAGCATAGTAACCTGAGCCAAAATCTCACATTGGAAATACTTGGGGATGAAAGAGTAGAATTCTCAGGGATTGTTTTTTTTAAAAAAAACAAACAATGAGAAAAAACTTCTTGAGATGGTGAAAGTTAAGTAACCTCTTGCACAGTATCCTGAACCCCAAAAGAAAGACTTGTCATTAGATTTTCTGTCAGTTTGGAACCTGTGGAGGTCTCTGATGAGGAGAGTGACATAACTCAATGGTACTGAAAAAGGTGGGCTTCCTAGATGGCTCAGTGGGTAAAGAATCTGCCTGCAATGCAGAAGACCCAGGAGACTTGGGTTTGACCCCAGGGTCAGGAAGCTCTCCTGGAGGAGGGCACGGCAACCCACCCCCAGTATTCTTGCCTGGAGAATCCCATGGACAGAGGACCCTGGCGGGCTACCATCCATGAGGTCACTGAGAGTTGGACATGACTGAGCATGGGTATTAAAGGATTTACTTTCTTGGAAATTTAATGTTGCTACTGGGAGAGGAAATTTTCAGACATAGCAGTCTGTCTTCCAACATGTACTATCTTTTCTCTATGTGGAATACCATGAGAAGGTCATCGTCGAAGGCAGAAAAATGGACTACAGCAGTGGTTCTCAAACATTATGTGCTCAGTCGTGTCAGACTCTGCAACC